CAGAGTCAGGATCTGAATTTGGGTCTGACCCCTTCAGCCCACGTGCTTTTCTTTTTGGAAGCAACATTAAGATAACAAATTATGAGATTTGGATTGTAGATCTGGTCCACAGTAGGTGCATGGTGAGCATTTGTTGAATGCATGAATGAATGAACCAGCTGTGTGTGTCTTTGGGTAAGTCACATCGCACAGTCACGCACACACACAATCACACAATATGCGTGCGCTCACACACACAGACCTCAGCTCCGGTTTCCTCATATTACAGCAGATCATTTCTATTCCCTTCTTGGCCCCAGTAGGCGTTTGAGTTTGTGACTTCTGGAATGGAGATTTATTTTTATGAACCCAGAATTGGGACTTTTTCGTAATTTGCAGTTCTTCATTAGCCTGTGGTCTAAACCCTCACTACTCAAATTCTGGTTTCCGGGCCTGCCATGTCAGCATCACCTGGGAGCTTCCTTGACCTAAAGACTGGAGTCCGCATTTTCATAAGATCCCCAGGCGAATCCTGTGCATATGAATGTTCCAGGTGCTCCGCTCTGTATCATCCACTTCCTTCCTCTGCACCCTGTTATCATTGTAATTAAGTACTTGCCTTATCTAGTTAAGTATTTGTTTACCACCTGTCTCCCCCACAAAACTGGAGGGTCCATGAGGGCAGGAACTCTGACTGCTTTTGCTGGCACATGGTAGGCGGTGAATGAATGAATGAATGAATGAACGAACGAATGAACGAGCGCATCCTGAGGCTCTGGCCATCTGTTTAGCTAATCCTTCTCCCTTCGCCCATTGGAACCTGGGCAGGAGGAGGGGCTTAGAGTTTTAAATTCACGAGTAAATGGAGGAGGCTCTCTGCCCCTCCCGGCTGCCCCATTTTATGTGCTAGCCACATCCCTCAGAGACACATGGTAAAGCTTGAAATAAATAGATTTGACTACATTGAGTCAGGTCACCAGGACTGCTTTCACCACTGGCAACATGGATACAAGTTGCCATCAGTGATTCCGCCACTGACCCCAATCTTGTTGATCAAGGAAGTTCAATGGCACTGCCAAGTTTGAGAACAGGAGCCTGTGGTCAGTGGGAAGGGCATCTCCATCTACCAGGCACCAGATCTTACCAGTATCAAAGGGCTGCTGCTTCTACTGCATATGGTGTCTTCACCACCCCGAATATGCTTGGGGCTCACTTGAGGACTGAAGTCAAAGCGTCATCTGCCCTTATGCTGAGGGTTCCATGTTTGTGATGGAGTGACCAGGAGGAGTATGACCACTCCCCCTAGATTGCCAGCATGCCCTCTGGGTCTGTGACACTGGCATCATGGAGGGACTCTTGACCACAGTCCACGCCCTCTCTGCCCCTCTGGCAAGCTGAGGTACTATGACTGTGCTGCTGTCCAGAGCATCGTGCCCGCATCCAATGGCATTGCCGTGTCTATGAACCAGATCATTCCTGAGCTGCATGGGACGCTCTGTGGCATGGCCTCCCATGTCTCCACTTCAGTGTGTCTGTCTGGCTCTGACTTACCATTTGGAGGAAGCTGTCAAACACAACAGCATCCAGAAAGTGGTGATGAGGGCATCTAGGGGATCACCGAAAGACGTCCTGGGCTACGTTGAGGGCGAGGTTGTTCCTGCAACTTAAACAATGATGCCCACTCCTCCACCTTTCACGCTGGAGCGTGCGTTGCCCACACAATCACTGTCAGGCCCATTGCCTAGTACGCAGATGACGGATGGCTCCAGCTGCATCTGGGCCTCCTGGTCCACAGGACCTCTGCGGACTAACAGCCCTGAAGCACAGCAAGAGCTTCAGAGGAAGAGAGAGGCTCTCTGCTCTTGGGGGGTCCCTGCTCCACCTTTGCACGCAAAGCACTGAGCATGGTTGTCCTTTACACAGTCCCACCCCAGGTCCCTGAGGAAGGGAAGGAGCTTGGGGGCCCTACATTGGCACGGACCGTCAGGAGTCTCCATGAGGTCTGTGCCATCCTTGCCAGCGAAAAAAGGAAGAAGAAAGGGAGGGAACGAAAGGGAAGGAGATTATTCTATATATAATGCATTCATTTTCCAGGTTCTCAATTCTCCCAAGTGTCCCAGGATAAAAAAGTTAAATGTGATACCAGTTAAAAAAAAAAAAAAAAAGAGCCTGTGCTTTTCAAAAATCACACGGTCTGCAGAAGGAAAATCTCTCAGCACTGACTAAATGCCTGTTTCTTCCTTGCACAGTCTTCCTGGGGGTTGCTGGGGTGGAAGAGGACCATAGGTTTGCACAGCAGGAGAGGGAGAACTGCCCTGGTAGGGAAGGCTGATTGCATAACAGTTCAGAGGAACAGAGGAGGGGGAGCGAGGTGAACATGCAAATCAGGGTGCAGAGGTTGGGGGCTCGGGGAGGTGCTTGCTTCAGATTTCTAGAACGCCGAGTTAATCTAAGCCCCTAGGACTGTTTCCATAGATTTCGATTTTTATGAATATTTACATATTTATTAAAGAAAACATATTCAAAATGTTTAATTCAGTAACTTATATATTACTAAACATAACTCAAATCATGGGCTTTTACCAGTAATGAGACTGGGGCTCTTTCAGAATGAGACCATCCTGTGGGAGGAGGAGGAAGGGGATGTGGGAGGCTCTGCCTGGGGCAGGAAACCCGGAGCAGGGAAATGAGCAGCGAGTGAGCACCTACTGTGCACCGGCACCTTTCCTTGGAGTTAGATCCCTGCTGTCCCGACTTCTTAAAAATGTGACACATAGTAAGAAACGTATTTTTACACAGGCATTCAGCACACACACAACACATTCTCACGTCTACAACTGGAACAAAAGTATCCTACAACTCCTCCTTACTATGAGCAATATACACTAATGCTGTCCAGCCTTTTTTTTAAAGATTTATATATTATTTATCTTTGTATTTTATTTATGTTTGTGTCGGGTCTTAGTTGCGGTACGCAGGATCTTTTGTTGCAGCATGCGGGATCTTTCGTTGCAGCACGTGGGATCTTTCGTTGCAGCACGCGGGATCTTTCGTTGAAGCGCGCGGGCTCTTCATTGCAGCATGCGGGCTTCTCTCTAATTGTGGCCTGCAGGTTTTCTCTTCTCTAGTTGTGGCGCGCAGGCTCCAGGGCACATGGGCTCTATAGTTTGCGACACGCAGGCTCCCTAGTTGCGGCACACGAGCTCAGTAGTTGTGGCGCGGGATTAGCTGCCCCGTGGCATGTGAGATCTTAGTTCCCTGACCAGGGATTGAACCCACGTCCCCGGCATTGTAAGGCAGATTCTTTTCCACTGGACCAGCTGGACTTCAGGACTCGCCCTCTCACCCCAGTGGCTTGGGACTCGAACAGAATGTGACTCTGCCAGGGAGGTGATTAAGGAGATGGACTTGGGACTCAGACAGCCCTTGGGTTCAAGTCCCAGTTCCTATGTCCACAGGCTGTGTGGCTTGAGCAAGGCACTTAGCCATTGGGCCCTCAGCTTCCTCGTCAGTGCAATGGGGATAATGACACTGTCGGCCTTGTAGCATTGCCACGAGGATTAAATGAGTTCACGCATGTAGGCAGTTAACACGGGCCTGGCACGTGGTGAACATCTAAGCGGGTGCTGGTTGCTGTTATGATGGTGATTGTCATTGTGGGCTGCTGTGTCCTGGTTGGGAAGCCAGAGTCGGGAGCCAGCACCTGAGTTCAGATCACAGCTCCACCCTTTAGGACCTGTGTGGCCTTGAGTGAGTTATGTAAACTCTGCACCTGCTGCTCTTCATCTGTAACATGGGGACGTGAAGAGAACCCTCCTCAAGGGGTGGTTATGAGGATTAGAATAATCCAGGTAATGGATTTAGAAGGCGGCTTGGCATGTAACAAGCACTGGGTAAATGATGGATACAGTCATCATCATCATCATCATCTCATTTAATCCTCACGCATCCTTGTGAGATAAATGTTTTTTCCCCATTTCGCAGGAGGGTACCCTGAGGCCCCTGCCCGAAGTCTCATTACTTACTGAGCGCTAGAGTTGGAATTGCAGGTTGGTTTACAGAGAGGCTCAGAGCTCTGGAGGGCTTGGGGCATTTCTCAGGAGGCACAGGGACACCTCAGCCACTGCCCTACAAACCAGAGAGTGTGAGTCGGCAGATTGGTGCCATCAGTAGACACATCATCTAGAACTTGCCAGGGCTCCACACTGAGGGCATTGCACTGCATTATTTAAAATGACACAGCACAAAATCCTCCCCAGTGAACTGTTCGTTGGTAAAATTATCCTCTTGGAAATGTCTCTCCCAGCCAAATTCTATCACGTTTTCATCATCTCCTGATTATTGCTTCCCAACCATGGTTGCAGGCTGAGTGCCCAGAGATACAGTGTAGAGCACTTGTATCAGGACCTCAGGCCCCTTCCATCTCCCTGCCCCACACTCTAGCTGGAGCCTGGGAGATAATCCAAGGTGGCTGGGGCCAGCCCCACCTGAACCCAATGAACTGAAACTGGGGAAGGAGAGGAGGAATATCAAGGTGACATCAGAAGAAGAAGGAAAATAGGTGTTGGATAATCAGAGCCAACCAGTGTGGGCCTTTCTAGGTTTCTGGGGTTGCCTTTAAGGCAAGGAAGGGAGTGGGTCTTCATCCAGGAGTAGAAATGGCGCCAGCTGACAACTGGTCGTGTTACCTGGCTCCAGCACGTTCTTTCTGTCTCTTTGCCCTCCTTTCTCCATCTGTACAATGGGTGGGGGGATGGATTCTACTCTGATGTTTCAGGATGCTCCAGGTTCTTTATACGTAGTCCTTCAGTTAGTATCTGGAGACAAAGCACACCCAGAAAAGGTTTTCAAGAAGGAGAGTGCTACAATGGTGTGCCTCAGATAAGCTTGTGTGGTTGAGAAAGTCCCTGGCAGCAACTCTGAGTTTCTTCCCCCTCAACCTGGCGTCTGAAGTCATAGCTTCTGGGGAACATCGCTCTGACAGCTCAAGCCCCTCAAATGTTTTTCTTTTTCCCCTCCAGGCATCACTACATCGGCTCTGAGTGTGTCCCAGCTCTTTGCAAGGTGAGTACCCTTGCTTTATCTCCCTCTCACGCTCTCTCCTCTCTCTTTCTTGGAGGGCAGAGGCTCTGGAAGCAGACTCCCTAGAAAAGAATCCCAGCACTACTCTTACTGGCTGAGTGACCTTGAGCAAACGACCCCACCTCCCCAGGCCTCAGTCTCACCATCTGGAAAAGGGGGGCAATCATGATGCCTGCCCCACGTAAAGGGCGCTTAAAACGGGGTCTGGAACAGACTTTTCTGAGAGTGTTGGCTGTTGTTTTCTTCTTTCTTCTTTTTTTCAGTCTTTTCCTCCTTTCCTTCCTGTCCTTTCCTATCACAGACTTTCTCAATTCCTCTCTCCCTTCCTGCTTCTCTGTCTCTCCCTCTCTTGTCTTTTCTCCCTCCCTCCCTCTCTCCTTTTCTGTCTCCCTCCCTCTCTCTTTGCCCTCTCCCTCTCTCGTGCTCTCCCGCCTCTTCCTTCCTCCTGCCCCATCTTTCTCTCCCTGCCCCTCTCTATCCTTCTTCCCCTCTCCTCCCCCCTCCTTCCTCCCTCTTCCTGCTCCAACATTCACCCAGCACTCCTCGGTACCAAATCTCATAGGAGCACTGGAGACTCGCGAGATCAGTGAGACACAGTCCCTACCCTCGGAGAGCTTCCAGTCTAGTGGGGACAGAGACCAGTAGATCAGAGATCTCAATAGAGCGGACGGTACAAACGCTCCACCAGAGCCGTGCGCAGGGGTTAGTGGGAGCCCAGTGATGGACAGGGCTTACCCAGGGTCCTCAGGGGCTGCCCATCCGCACCCCCTAGTGTGAGAAGCCCCGGGTTTGGCAGGACGGTCAGCATGGCCCTCAGTCTGGATACTCAGCTCCTCCATAGCTGGACATGCTCCTCCCTGGATGAGACCGTAGAAGCTGTTTATAAGGAACACACTTTCTCAGGCTTCCTTTCCCTCCAGAAGATGTTTTGGGGGTTGTCGGTAGCAACTGAGGTCTGTTAAATCTACCTAACTTGTTTTATGGCCTTGGGGTTAGAGAGCTCCACTGTCCTCTCTCTGGCTTTTCACTTGAGCCCCAGTTTAATCCGAGAATTTCACATTGGTTTTGATGGGAAGCAGGAGCTGATCATCTCCGATTTCCACCTTCTACTTGCAAAGACAGGTATAAGTTGGGAACATTTTCAAATAAGGTTCTCTGCTCAGCACTAAGTCCCAATGCTCCAGGTGCGTTTCCAAGCACCTCACAGGGTAAGAATCTTGACTGCTGAAATGCCTTCCAGTACTGATTCTGGCGTCTCCAGCTCAAACAAGTTTCTTATGCATCTTGGAACAAGTTCCCCAACGCTTCGGCACAGTGGTTGTCAAAAAGAAAGAGGGCTTGAGAACATCTTTTTATAATTCCGCAAACTTTTGCATCTGTCTCACGCCTGCCATCAGGCTTCGTATGTAGGAGGAGCTCTGGAAACCAACAGGTTTTTACTAAGGTGATGTAATCAAAATGGAATCAGATACAGGTTTGGGAATCTCGTTACCATCTACTGATAAACTCGTGGCCAGGATAGTTAGCTACAGTTTGTCAAGTTGCACAGAGGTGGAGTGGTTAAGGGCGTGGCCTCTGGAGCAGGGTTCAAATTGTGTATCAGCTGTGTGCTTTTGGTTCCTTCATCTCTCTCTGCCTCAGTTTTCTTATCTGTAAAATGGGGATGGGAGCAGTAACTGCCTCCAAGAGCTGTCACAGTTGCTATCAGGTTTAAATGAGCCAGTCTACATGCAATAATTGGACAGGGCCTGGCGTATCGTAGCCCCAAGGATTGATGGCAGCGCACAGAGCAGACCCAGGCTTTCCAAAGCATCTGTGCTTTGCAAGAGAAGGGGGAAATAAGGGGAGAGAGAGAGAGAGAGACAGAGTGTGTGTGTGTGTGTGTGTGTGTGTGTGTGTGAATCTTCTGGTTTTAAAATATTGGCAACTTCAAATTAAGAAAAAATTGCACTGGCCAAAGAAATTCTATCTGTAGATTCACCATCTTGTCCCCTTCCTGTTATAACAACCTACCTTGACTTTATTTATTGCTCCCTACAGGAGCAATAAGTACAGGGCTGGGTCAAGCCCAGGCCCGTCACTGAGAAGCAGCAAAGCTTCGTGATTACAAGTGTGGGCTCTGGAGTCAGACTTACGAGTTTAAGTTCCAGATTTCCCACTTTCTAGCTGTGACTTGCGGTTTCTGAACTTCAGTTTTCTCTTCTCTAAAATGGGAGTTAGAAGAGCCTCCACCCCAGAGAGTTGGTATTAGTATCCGATGCGATTCAGTGCACATATTAGGCCCATGTGACACAGTTCGTAGCCCGTGGTCAGAGCGCAGTGATCACTAGCAGTCATTATATTCCAGATGTCTTAGGTCAGTGGCCCGTTAAATCCTAGCCCTTCATGGAACCCATTATTCATCTTGGAGTAAGGAATCCATTTTTTTTCTTTGGTTGCAAGTAACAGAAATAGACCCCAGCTGATGTAAACACAAAAGGACTTTTTTGGGAAGATCTGGAGTAGCTCACAATGGAAGCAAAAGTGGAATGATCAGGCCTTGAGAAAGACCAAGAGTAGGACAGCTTCTAGGATCCAGGCAATGGGAAGGAACTAAAAATCAGTCTCTTCAGAATGTGGTTGTTGGAATGAATTATTCAGCCCAAGATTTAAATTCCCAGAACAGAGTCTGATTGGATGATCTTGCACCATGTGCCCACCCCATGGCCAAGAGCAGGGCATCTTGAATGACAATGCCGTCAAAGCTACAGTCAATTGGGAAGGTGTCTAAATTAGGGTAGATAGTCACGGTGGAATAGGCTGTACTGCAGTAATCAATAAACCTTGGTCTCAGTGGCTTAGCACAACAAAGGTTTGTTTCTTATATAAAGTCCAATGTGAATCCCATGAAACTCTCCGGCACACCTCTCCTCCACAAGCTGACTCAGGGATCCAGGATGTAACTGTGTTGGCTCCGCTCTCTCAACTGGTACCCTCCACAGTTGCTGCCGAAAGAGGAGAGGGGATGGTGTTATTGGCCAGACCTATGAGTGGTTTATGCATTCTGTCAGGCAGAACCCAGTCATGTGGTTGAATCTGACTGCAAGGGAGACAGGAAATGTAATCTTCCTGGTGCCCAGGAAAGGAAAATGAAATAGGATTTGATGAACATGTAAGCTGTCTCTCCCCTGGAAAGAGTGAATACCCAGGGAATTCCCTGGCGGTCCAGTGATTAGGACTCGGTGCTTTCACTGCTGGGGACCGGGTTCAATCCCTGGTCAGGGAACTAAGATCTTGCAAGCCAAGTGGCCAAAAAAAAAAAAAAGAAGAAGAAGAAGAAAAGAAAAGAATAAATACCCCCAAAGGAAAATAGTAGTGGTGGTGATACCAGAATAAGGGGGGAGGGATGCTGGGTTGGGCTTGGGCTTGGAGATTTCATCTTCTCTCCTTCCATGCAGACCTTGCCCACGTGTCCTGCACAGCCAGCATCCCACTGCCATGGCAGCCTACGGCCAGACTCAGTACAGTGCGGGGATCCAGCAGGCCACCCCCTACACAGCTTACCCACCTCCAGCACAAGCCTATGGAATCCCTTCTTACAGTGAGTACCTGACCAAACTCTTGCTTTCCCCCTGGGATCCCCACCATCATGGTCTTTATTTTGCCCTGTTGCTTCAGTGAAATGCAGAATGATAAATGCAGCCAGCCTAATTTTGGATTGGAGATAGAGGGGAAGGACAGACACTTTAAATATGGTTCAAGATCTAGGGCTTCCCTGGTGGCGCACTGGTTGAGAGTCCACCTGCCGATGCAGAGGACACAGGTTCTGCCCCGGTCCGGGAGGATCCCACATGCCACGGAGCGGCTGGACCCATGAGCCATGGCCGCTGAGCCTGCGCGTCCGGAGCCTGTGCTACGCAACGGGAGAGGCCACGACAGTGAGAGGCCCACATACCGCAAAAATAAATAAATAAATAAATACAGTTCAAGATCTAGAGACTATATCAAGACCTCTTTTGACTGCAAGAGTAAGACACAACCCAAGCTGGCTTAGGGAAAATGGAAATTTAATGATTTACATACTGGTAAATTTGGGGATACGACTGATAGCAGGTATGGCTGGATCCAGGTGCTTGAATGATATCACGAGGAAGATGTCTCACTCCATCTTCAGATGTTTTCCTCTGAGTTGTCTTTACCTCCACATGGGCTCTTCCCATGTGACAGCAGAGATTGTACCTGTCAGCTCCAGGTTTACATGCTTTCAGCTCAGCACTCTCAGCAGAAGGACATCTCATCTTTCCCAGTAGTTCCACCAGAATCCAATGTTGACCCTTAGCACAAGCAAGGAGGTAGAGGTGAGGGAGGTAATCGGAGGGTGAAGCATATGGATTGTATGTGAGGAAGGGATGGTTCTCTTAAAGGAAAACCCAGTGGTGGTGTCAGAAGAAGGAAAAATGGATGCTGGGAAGGCAAAAACAAGAGACATGCAACCTTGACAGTCAGAACACTATTGCCAAGAACTGGAGGCTCAGTGAACTAGGCTCACCATCCACTGCTCACCTGTCCCTGTGAGCATTCATCAGGGTTCTCCAGAGGGACAGAACCAATGGGATGGAGCTGAGACAGAGAGATACATTTATCATAGGAATTGGCTCACCCGGTAATGGAGGCTGAGAAGTCCCTAGATCTGCAGTTGGCCAGCTAAAGACCCAGGAGATGGAAGAGGATGTCATTCCAGCCTGAGTCTGAAGGCCTGAGAAACAGGAGGGCTGACGTTGTAAGTTCTAGTCCGAAAGCCGGCAGGCCCAAGCCCAGGAAGAGCTCATTTTTCAGTTGGAGTCTGAAGACAGGAAAAGACCAGTGTCCCAGCTCAGCACTCAGACAGAAGGAGTTCCCTCTTACTTAGTCTGTTGTTCTATTCAGGTTTCCAGTTGATTGGATGGGGCCCACCAACATCAGGGAGGGCAATCTGCTTTACTCAGTCCACTGATTCAAATTAATCTCATCCAGAAACACCCTCACAGACACAGTATAATGTGTGACCAAATGTCTAGACACCCCGTGGTCCAAGTTGACACATAAGATTAACCATCGCACTGGTTTTTTTGTTTTTTTGCGGTACGCGCGCCTTTCACTGTTGTGGCCTCTCCTGTTGCGGAGCACAGGCTCCGGACGCACAGGCTCAGCGGCCATGGCTCACGGGCCCAGGCGCTCCGCCGCATGTGGGATCTTCCCAGACCAGAGCATGAACCTGTGTCCCCTGCATCGGCAGGCGGACTCTCAACCACTGCGCCACCAGGGAAGCCCCTGTGGCTTTTATTCATGTGATTTCTTCCATCTTAATTGATGTATCAACCAAAGCCCCTTTGGTAGCAAGCAACAAAAATCCAATGCTAATTAACTTAAGAAAATAAGGATGTTTATTGCAAACAGAGCAGAAAAATCTTAGGGCTTTAGCTTCAGGCAGGGTTGGATCCAAGTATGATAATAGGAGGAATTAGTCTCTCTGCTTCCCTTTGTGTGGGCTTCCGTCTCAGGCAGGCTCTCCACTGTGGTGCCAAAGGCAGCCCTAGCAGTTCCAGGCTGGAACTCCCCAAAAAGAGAGCCTCCGCTGTCCAGGACTTGCCACATTGTCCCAGAGATCTCTCTACCTGGACTCCCGTGGTCAGACCCTGGGGCAGAAAGATGGAATGCTCTGGATGTCCCCATGTCCACCCGTGGCACCAATGATCAGGTCAGGCTCACCCCAGAGAACTGATCTGAGTGTGAGGAAGGAGTGGTCCCCAGAGGAGAAGGGGGCAGGCAGAAAGCACAGACATCCATACAGATGGCTTTCCGATCCACCCAAATCCATGGTATCCGGTGGAAAGAACAGGATTGCAGGCAGGAGGCCTTCCTTCCAGACTCAACTGCCCCTGGCTTCTCCACGCCTCAGCTTCTTCAACGGTTAAATTAATCAGATCATCTTGTCTTGCCAACTAGATGGTGTGGCTTCAGTGCAGAGACTGAATCTTGAATTTTTTTCCTCCCTCTTCTCCCTCCCTTCCTCTGCCCTGTTCTTTTGTTCGTTCATTCATTCAGCATTGGGTCGTGTGCTGAGTATACAATGGTCAACAAGCAGAATGGGCCCTGTGTTTGTGCAGCTTACAGTCTAGAACAGAGGCTAGAAAGTGAGGGCCAACAGATAATGTGGCCCTTGGATATTTTTTTTAACCTATAAAATATACTTGACATTTAAAAAATTAATTGCCAATTTTTAAATGGGAAATGTTTACATAGAAGTTTATATTCCTAATGTCTTTTAAAAAAACGACAGATGATCGGGCAGCATTGGGCCCACATTTTTTGTGTCAGGAGTAGGTGGCTCTGAGTAGGGCTGACCCTATTAGCCTGTGTTCACCACAGTCCTCCCCCACCCTCATTACTCACTTGAGTTAGCTGCCTGTCCCCTGAAGACATTTAAGTTTGCAACCCCTAGCCTAGAGGAAGAAAGAAATTACATGAACTTTTAAAAATTGTAGGTGTTATTTCAAATTATGATGCGTGATATAAAGGAAGACAAGAAGGCTGTGAAAGGGTAAAGAACAAGCAAGATTTAATATAGGTTCTAGCGCCAGGGAAGGCCTTTTACATGAGGAGCTGATTCAGCTGAGAACTGAGAGGTGACCATTCGTAAGCACAGGAGGGAGGGTGTCCAGGCCGAGGTGATCACCCCTGGGAAGATGGACTTGGCAAATCCAGGAAGCCCAGTGGCTGGAACACAGTACACAGATGAGGTAGGCGAGGTGGGCAGAGCCTTAGCGCCTGGGAAGGATTTTATTCCAAGCGAAGCAGGAACTCATTGGCAGATTTATAAACACAGGGCTATCTGATACAATCTGGGTTTTTTAAAGATCACTTTGGCTGCTGTGGGGAGGTTGCATTGGAGGGAAGCAAGAGGAGAAAAAGGAAGGTAGGTTGGGAGACTGATAAAGTCTGGAGTAGAGCAATGGTGGAGACCTGGGGGGCAGTGAACAGACAGAAGTAGACATATTCTAGAGCAGTTGTGGAGTTAGGAGTGACAGGTCACAGAGCACCTGGTCAGGCGTTGGTCATGGACACCATCGCTGAGATGCTGTGTCACTCAGATGCTTCATCTTTGAGATGTGCATCATTGAGTTGCTGCACCACTGAGATGCTGCATCTTCAAAAAAAAAAAAAACCCTTTTTTTTTTGGCTGCGCCACACAGCTTGTGAGATCTTAGTTCCCTGAAACCAGACCCTCAGCAGTGAGAGCATGACGTCCTAACCACTGGACCCCCAGGGTGTTCCCTGAGATACTGCATCTTTGAAATGCTGCGTCACTGAGATGCTGCCACCCACAGTTCTCAGGGCTCTGTGTCTACTTGTCCTTTTAAACCCCCACTCAACCCTCCAAGGAAAGTTCCATCGTTATCCTCTTTCAAGGTATAAATAAATGGAGGCTCAGAGAGGATAAATAACTCGCCCAAGGTCCCCCAGTTGGTCGGTGGCAGAGGTGGAATTATACCCAGGCAGCCTGGATCTGGAGTCTAAGCCCTTCACTGCTGAGCTCCACTGCCTGAGCACACATTCCAGAAATCCTGGGGGATTACCTATGACAGACCTTGGCCAACTGGTGTGGACATCTCTTCTAACTTCTGTCCCTCTTGTGCCAGAAGACTTGTGATAAAATCACACGTAAGTTACCCTGCCTGGCTGACAGCCAAGAAACATGAAGCTGGATTATTTTTCAGCATGAAAGAGAAAACTAACCCTGTTCCCAGACAAAACATGGCATCCGGTGGAAATTAATTTGGTTCAAAGTCATTTTACAGTCCCAGTTACTTTCAGAGGCTCTGTGCCCTAACAATACAGTGCAAGTGGTAAGATCACACGTTCTGGGTTCACACCTCACCTCTGCCCCTTGCTGGTCCTCAGACTCTGGGCAGTTTTCCTCCTAAGTCTGGCTTCCTAACGAATGTTCTTGCATTAAATGAGATCATCTACATTGGGGATCAGCTACCTTTTCCCTGTAAAGGGCCAGATCATAAATATTTTCAGCTTTCTGGGCCACTCAACACTGCCATTGAAGCATGAAAGCAGCCAAACAATATGTAAACTAACGGGTGTGTCTGTGTTCTAATAAAACTTTATTTACATAAACAGGCAGTGGGCCATCATGTGTCAACTCCTGATCTCTATAAAGGGTTTAGCCCACAGGGCCTGGCCCAAGGGAAATGTTCAGTCAGTACAGCTGAAGCCAGGCTGCTACACACACACACCTGGAATGTCCACATCACTAAGTAACGACAGCTGGGATAAAAAAAACCCTTTCCCTTCACATACGCCTGTGCCTGAGCAAGCAGTGTTTGCTCACCGTCTGGACAAACCTTGCTGAATCTTGTTAGGAAACTTTTCTCCTTGCTCCTTGGCAAATAGCATTATTACCTTTGTTTAAATAGCTGCAGGGAAATAATAACACAGTTGAGCAAACTAGAGGCAAGGAGGTCAGGAGTGTGGAGTATTTTTTTCTCAATTTATTATGCAACATTTAAGACATATGTAAAAGTGTAAAGAGTAGCACTACAAATACCCACG